AAGAACGATGCAAACTTGTAATTGAAAAAAATGGGGAACGTATCCCATATTAAATGTATTAAATTTTTTTTTAAATATATCTTTAATCATTCGGCTTTCTAACTACGTGAAGTTGTCCAAAGACTTTCTTATTACACTGTATCTAAGTTGAGAAATAAAAATTACATAATATTTATCGAATTTACTGCGGAAAATTCGGTATGAAGAATATATTTCCTCCAAGATTACAAATTGCGATTTCAAGATTACCAGCGATATGACGCAATAATCATATTATTACAAAACTATATTTTTTGTATCCACAATTGACGCTTGGACCATGTGACTTGTTATACCTTTTGGATAATTTTTAATTATTATATTTAAATTAATATTGTTAATGCCATTAATTAATTAATATTAATCATAAAATTGATATAAATTTACTGTTAAAATATCCCGCAGGTGAATTGAAAAATATTCCACGGAATTTTTTATAGTCTTTATGGTCTGTGAAAATATCAACAAAAATCATTATGAGTAGAGTTGGTAGTAGAATTGTTTTCACCTCATAGTCTAAATTATTTTGCTATCATCATATATATGCTCTTGTCGTCAACGAATAAATAAATCACATATGACATATATTTAATAAGCTAAAAATAAATTAGTGATGATCAATACTAAATACTAAATGTAACATAAACTTAGAATCGCCGTAAATGTTGTACGTATATGGTATTAATTTCTATATCTTAATTCACCATTTACATATTGTATATAATGTAAAAAATAAATGAAGTGTGTGTTCATTACTGGTCCCTTATAATGATTTTATTTTTTTTTCTGATAATGGTATGTTAACCCCTCTTAGCCTTACTTTATATTAAGCATGATACAAATATAGTGTATTGCGAATTCTAAATCTGAAAATCCAAATGAATTCATTATCGCTTTAATTTCTATAAATCAATAAATTAAATGATAAAAATTTTTATTTAAACGACCTCTCCTCAACCCTCCTCGAATAAAAAATTCATATTTATTTAAAATATCAAAATATGTCATTTCTTATTGATCATCAAAATATTGCAAACACAGTAAAAGTACCATTTCCTCCATCTATTACTGAAGATGAAATTGTACAAATACATTTAAAAAATGGAATTAAAAACGTGAATCAAACTATGAATGCATTTATGATTTATAGAAAAGAATTTAATCATATAGCTTCAAACTTTAATCTTACACGTAAATTTGTATCCAAATCATCCAGCATTTCTTGGAAAAATGAGCCACAATATATCAAAAATTATTACAAACAATTTGCAAAAAATGTTAAAAGACGTTTCGAAGAAATTGTCCCTTCTCTTTGTTTTATCCACTTCAATAAAGTATCTAATACAAATGATAATCACGTCCCTTTAGACACTTACATTAATCATCCGGTTCATCCACTTCATCCACCTCATTCAATTCATCCAATACATCCAATTCATTCAACTCGTTCGATTCATCCAATACATTCACTTTATAATGATGAAAAATTTCCTCCGCTCATTAATTCTCCACTTCTAAATATAGATCAAGAAACTAACATAGATCATTATAAATATATGACTATGAATGATGACGAACTTATTAATTATCTTCCTGAAGATATTGCTTTAACTTATAAAGCAATTAATCAATCATTACCCTTTTAATGACTTAATCGTGTGGTGGTTTACACCTAACTCTTTAATTATTATATTATGATAGCATAGGAATATTTTATTTTTTAATAAATTATATTTTTTACTATGATTATTATAAGAATTATAAATAAGAATCATATATAAGAATTATTATGATTATAAGAATTATTATGATTATAAGAATTATATAAATAATAAATTATAAATTAATATAAATAATAAATTATAAATTGAGGTAACTTCAGTTAATTTAAGTTTTTAATAAAAGAAATTTTAACGTTTTTTATATTGCTCATAATCTAAACTCATACAATTAAGTGAATAAAGATTAACATCATAAAATAAAGTAATACAATAAAAGTAATAATAACAGTAACAACATGCATAACACAATTGTAGAATTAAATTAACAATGTTAATTGTAATTATAAAATAATTAATAACGTTGTGTAATAATTTAGTCAAGGCATAATTATTTAACCTATTTTTTAGAATTAACTAGTTATCAAAATACTAGTGGGAACAATAGTGAAAATAATATTAATGAATTTACACTAAACCTAAGAATGAAGAAAGTTTTGAAAAAGACCTTGAATTAAATAAATTAGTTTCTGCTTTAAGTTTTAGAAAGTATTAATAAATTCTATTTTATTTTTTAATTTTATTTATTTTATTTTATTTCTTATAATTATTCTATTTCGATTTTTATTTAAATATTCTAAATATTTTTAAATTACATGATGATGCCTATGTATTTAGAGTTGAAGAATATAAGCATTTTTGTACCTAATTCGATATTCGTAGGAGTAAAATCTCCCAGCATGGTGTATATTTATAGTTTATTATATTAATATTTCTTACAAATTAATATAGTAACAAACAAGTTTTAATTTTAAGAAAAAAAATGACTAAAAATATTTAATTCAGTGAAAGAAATCAATAAATCACTAGGTGGGAGGAGTTATTGAGATCTTTATCATTTTCTTGTGATTATTTTCTTCAATATTTTTCGAATTTCTTCTTTATAGGATCATAAATTTGAGAAGGATTGGATGATTCAGCTAATAACTTTTATTTATTAAAAAAAACATGAATGTAATAAATGAATTATTATTTTCGACACTGTGTGCTTGAACGTCAATAACAGTATGTGAATCTTAATCTTTTTCTTTTAATCCATCATTTTTGTGTAAAGATGATTTATTATATTATTATTATTATTATTTATTTCCTTTGTTAACGAGAATTGAAAGGAATCAATTTGTCTAAAAATTAAACCTTTTTTTTTTTTTAATTTAAAAAAAAAAAATTTATTAGATGAAGTAACAATAATATAAAATAACGAGAAATTTTATTGTCCTGGCTGGTAAAGTTCACCAATGAATGTAGATTATTTATATCAAATGTTGTGTTGTTACAATTGACACCAACAAAGTAATTCTTTATCTTTCAATTCTCATTATTCCCATCAATTTCAAGAGTCTTATTATTACGTAATTTCTCCTTCAAAAAAAAGAAATATACAATTTCTCGAACCTCAAGGTTACTAATATTTCACCATAAATCTTAGATATCAAATTATTATTGACATAATTTTTCGATTTTTTTTGTTTCATTAATTTAATTATTTAACATTAAGAAATAATTTTTTTTTTTTTGCATATAAACATATTAATTAAATATATATAAGGATATTATTTTTTTTTTCTCATTTTTAATCTTATCATACTTCGATAACATATTATTTACATATTTATATTTAATTTAATAAAATCGTAACATAGATAATTGCGTTTTTATTCAATAAAAAAAATTATTGTTATGCGTAGACTCTATAGATTTTTACTGGTGTTGTTGTAGTTTGTTATGGTTGTTGTAGAGTTTTAATAAATAAATAAATAAATAAATAAATATATATATATTTTTTATATAAAAATATATTTACAATGAAAAATTGTAATTAAAATCAAAATTAAAATTATCAGGAGAAGAAAAAGAAGAAGACGAAGAATTCGAATTGTTGTTGTCAATATCCAAGAGATTGGGTAAGCTGGTTAGATCGAGAATATCATTTAAGGAAAAGAAATCATCATTCGCATTGTTAACATCACTATTTGTGAGAATATCAGAGAAATTTGCTTCGATAGAAGGAAATTCCGTAATTCCAAAAGTATTAAGAATATCTGTAGATGATGCGGATGACGTAGTAATTTCAGTTGTAGGTGTAATTGTAAGTGTAGTTTCAGTAGTTGTGGGTGTAGTAATTGTAGGTGTAGTTGTAGGTGTAAATGCTTCGAAATTTGTTTCTGATGCAAAGTAATTTTCTGAGAAAATTTGATTTTGATCTAATTCGTTAAAGTTTTCAAAAGTAGTGAAATCAAATGGAGATAATTCCCCTAATTTTCCCGTTAATTCGGATAATTCTGAGAGTGATGAATTATTAATTATATTTTGAATAGTTGAATCTAATTCAAATTCAAAATCATTTAAATTATTCATGTTTAATGAAAAATCGGGAATCGAATCAGGACTTGGGTAAACATTTTGTAATTCAAAAGAATTTGTAGTTTCAAATTGCATCGGAAGAGTAGGAGTAAATAAAGTATCTGCCATTGTAACAATTTCATTTTGATTATTTTGATTATTTTTCGGTTGTTTATTCGGTCTATTCGATTGTTTATTGGAGTAATCAAAAGCGAGAACATTCCATTTTGCTTTTCTTTTACGACGTTTATTATTTTTTGGATATTTCTCACTTCGATATTCAAATGCTTCTTTGGATAGACGTTTATAATAAGCTTTTACTTCGTCGCTTTCATTATCCCACGAATTTGATGCCATTGATGAAATAACTGTCATCGGTAAATAATAACCACTATCTCTCGCCGCTTCAACAAAAACTTTTCTATAAATTATAAAAGAATTAGGCGATCTTGCAGGTTTATCTTCATTAGGTTTCATGATGATCAAATCTTTGGGATCGATCATAGGTGGAAATGGAACTTTGATAAATGGAGTTTCATTAGTAATAGTTTCTTCACATAACGAAGGGCTTTGTGTGACGAAAAGACAAGCACGATTTTGATTGTTATTATTATCCATATTCTTGGAAAATTTTTGGTTTTTTAAAATTTCAGAAAGCTGAAAATTTCTCATATTTATAGAAGATCTCTCATTTTCTTATTAATCAATAATGTCCAAATTGGAAGATTTTCGGTGTACTAAAAATATCAAATGTAATACTACTTTCACACATTCATTATGACAATTAAAAAAAAACCAAAGATTACTAAAATTGGGTTTGAGACGGTGAATTTATTTTTAACGATGATGTCAGTAATGTAACTAACAATGTAATATTACTCATGTTGCATTGTGGCTCGCATATTATATTATTACCATGAATATTCTGGAAGATTTTCTAAATTAATCTTTATCATTTATCTAATCCACAATGTTGTGTTGTAAACATCTACCATAATGATACAAAACTTGTTCGTTAAAATTTCAAAGTTTCATATTATTCGTAAAGGAATATTATAGAGTCAATATTTGGCTAAATAAGCTATACTTTATTGAACATCTTTTAAAGATATTAGAATGTATTTAATGTGTGTTATATATATTCAAATAGAGATAAAAAGATGAGATAACATTCTCACATTGTTGTATAGAAATAATAATAATAATTTAGGATTTCGATACGATAAACAGTATAATAACAATTTAGGACGAAAGAATTCAACGAATTCACATATTTATGAAATGTTTACGCATCTGAAATAATTAATGTAATAAATAAATAAATAAATAAAATAATACATTTGTTCAGTTATATCAGATATTTAATATTTATTTTTTATTTTATTTTTTATTTTATTTTTTATTATTTTTTTTTCATTTTTTTAAATTTTTTTTTTCATAATGAAAATACAAATTGTCGAATTTATAGTCGTTGAAAAATGGAAATATTTTAAATATTTAATAATTGATTGATTGATTGATTGATTGATACGAAGAAAATCTTCAATAATAACTTTATATAACAAATAATAATAAATTCAGATACAAAATAAGAAATTCAATAATTCTTTACAATTCTTTGATACAGTATTTCAAGAAATAAAAAAAAATTTACAATTATTAATCGTCATATTAATGTTTATCCTTCTTATCCTTTTTATCTTTATCCTTTTTATCTTTATCCTTTTTATCCTTGTCCTTATGATCTTTATCCTTATGATCTTTATCCTTATGATCTTTATCTTTTTTATGATCTTTATCTTTTTTCTCCTTGTCCTTATGATCTTTATCCTTGTCCTTATGATCTTTATCCTTCTTTTCACCTTTTTCATGTTTATCACGCTTTTCGTGGTCGTCTTTTTCATGTTTCTTTTCTTCATGTTTATGATCGTAGATTTTTTTACCAGCATATGCTAAGGCACCTGCACCTGCAATAGCTGCACCTGCAATAGCTGCATTTTTCTATTTTATTATAATAGAAAAAAAACATAATATAAAATATTTAAAATATTTAAAATTATTATTATTTTATAATAAAAACGATGAATCATGGAATAACATTAGCTTTATGAAAATTCAACACTTACCATCCAATCATTATCATGTTTTTCATGTTCTTTAGAATCTTTATGTTCTTTAGTATCTCTACTTTCTTTATGTTCTTTATGAATACTAGGAAATGGAGTAGTACCTGAGTGTTGCTGTGATGGTGGTGGTTGATGATGACTATCGGTTGGAGGAGGCATTGGAGGTGGTGCACCTAAACCATATCCTGTTGGCATAGGACCTGCTTCTGGTCCGAGATTGCTAAATTCTGAAACTCCTTGACCCTATATATATATATAGATTTATTTATATCTTTTTAATTATTGTTATAAAAATATTTATAAAAAATTCTCAAATTTGTTATATACCTTACTGAATTTCATTTTCAAATGAATAGATCCAGTTTCACTAGAATTATCTCCAAAGAGAGGATACCATTCATCAACAATTCCAGATTTAAACAAGTGTTCTAATGGTATTGTGGTTCCACCTTTTTGAAAAAAATAAATAAAATAAAAAAAAATAAAATAAAATAAAAAAGGAAAGAAAAAAATGAATTGGGTGTAAATTAATGAATTAATATACGAAAATGATAATCAATTTACCTATAAAATCGTCACCAGATGCTGCTCCAGCATCACTATCAAACACTTGCAAGTAAAGATTATTATGTCCTTCGTTGAGATTGCTAAAAAATTTATAAAAAAATAATAAAATTAGATCAAATGTTTAAAATTATCATATATAAAGATATGAAAATATATGTGCGTGGAAAACGTACAAATTGAACGAATGATCCCAAGTCGGATTGGCTCCACCTCCATCAATAACCTTTGTCTTTTGTTTATGTTCATCGTCTATTGATACAGTAACATAAGGGTCATTCTTACCTATATAATAATATCAAAAAAAAGAAAAAGAATAATTATTATTTATTATTAATTCATTGAAGAACGAGAATTTTCGTAAAGGATTAATCAAAAATTTATGATAATGCTAACCAACATAATCAGAAGCTCTCAAGTTCTTGGCGCTAGCTTTTTGAAAAATATTTTCGAAAAATTGAATTTTAAATTAATCAAATAATAATAATAATGATGATAATATTCAAACAAATAATTTCGGTCAGAATTTAAAGATCGTAATTAATCTTTTTTTTTTTTACCAACTATAACTTCAAGTTTTCCGCAAATCATTTTTTTCTTCTCTTATCGAAAAAAATCTTTTTAAAAAGAAAATCGTACCAATTTATACAAAATATTTATTATATAATAATTATATAAAAAGATTTCCCATACACACAACGAAATGTAACACAAGCAGTTAAAACACTAAAGGCGTTTTGAACTTTAAATGATATTTAAATTCTTTCTTCATCACCACCTTTAATTAAATTAAATTTTCCGATGATCTATCAAAAAAAAAAATGCATTGGTTATGCTTTTAACTAAACATTATCCAGCTTATGAAATTTATTCATTATTTCTTGTGACGAAATCTTTCGTTTTTTTTAAAATTAAAAAAAAAAATTCTTTTTTTTGTAACGTGAAAATCATACACAAGAAAATCAATTGGTGCAAGAGTTTGACACAAAGACATATTTTAGAAATTCAATGAGCGGATGAAAATAAATTTGGTTCATCAGAAAAAATTCAACAGGTTTTTTTTTTTTGTTCTTATCATTCATATAAAGCTAGTTGTCCTACTAAAAGAATGATGAAATAAGTAATAAAAAATTTTAATATAAAAGTTGGATCATAATTCTTATTTTGGCTGCTGAGATGATACTATCTTTAATAGATCTAATTAATTAAAAAAATTCAAAACATTGAGCTAATTATGACATAAACGACCAACAGATTTTCACCTCACATGTATTAATACAGGGGTTATGTTAGGTTTATCAGGGGAAGCGTATTTATCACACCTTCGAACATTAAATATCCTGAAAACATATTCGTCACTCAAGATCAAGGTATGACGATAAACTGTACGGTACGAAACGCTATTTTGTACTGTACGATTTTATATATATATTATAAAAATCCAATTGACTGTATGAACTTTTTTATGTTAAAAAACCGTACAGTACAAGTATTTTTATATTAAAAAGCCGAACAGTACTAAATATAAACCCAACCCTGTAATATCTATTTATGTCAAAAATAGGGTTAGGGTTTGTGTCACATGCAAATCAATTAGGGGTGTTATATTTTATTATCACCTCCTCAACACACCCCAACATTCAATTTTTATTATATTTTTTTAGGGACTTGGAATTTTTTTGGGTCTAAAATATTATTCGTCACATCCTTTTTTAGTAATAAAATTTATTAGTGTGCCTGCTATAATGTTAATAATGCTATGATTATTATTAAATGTAATTATATTTGTATTTTATTAATTAAAACTATATAAATTCAATAATATTTTTAATTTTTTTTATTTATTAATGTTCTTATATAAATATATTAAACTATAATAATTTTATTCAATTAAACTATATTGATTAAATCATAATTTCAAACAATTAAATGATAATAATTTTAATTAAACTTGATAATTAAACTATATTAATTTTGATTAATTAAACTATAATAATTTTGATAATTAAATTATATTAATTTTGATTAATTAAAATTTATAATTAAATTATATTAATTTTGATTTATTTAAATCTATAAAATATTAAATTTCAAATTATTAATATGTGCATATAATAAAAATTAAAAAAAACATCTACTTTTAAAATTCTAATTATTATTTTCATCATCAAGTATATATAATTCAAAATTTACACTATTAATTATTATTTCTTTTGTAGTATCTAAAGAAATATTTATATAATCTTTTGTAATAAGTTTAATAGCTGTTTCTGAAACAAGTACTTGAGTAATATATTGAAATATTAATTGTGATTTACAAAAATTTATAATATATCAGTTTTAAGAAATATTTCATTTAATATTTCTATGAGAATTACTAAACTCTTTGAACTATAATATCTTAGCTAAAATATTAAAGTTATTAATATTTAAAATAAAATTTTTATGATATTTAATTAAAATTAAACTCACTTAAAAAGATTCAAAATAAGACATTTGTATCAATAGATTCAGTATTAGCTGAAACTATTAAATTTAAAAAATAATTAATTTTTTTTAAATAAATATAATTCTACAATAAAATAATAAACAAAACCTATCTTTTCTTATTTTGATATTCACTAGTCAAAAATTAATAAAGTATACACATATCAGGTACCCAATATATATATGATATGTTGTCACCGATGATCTTTTGTTTCCTTAAAAATAATCTAGTAAGGTGATTTAATGGTTTTTTTAAGAAGTTTATAGTCCTTTCCCAAAGGTAAGACTATTGTTTCATTATTTTAGAAGGCATCACTGATTCAATTATTTTAGAAAAGGAATTAGACCTTTCATCCAATTTATTTCAATATCTTTTCAAGTTTATCATTATCTTTAGTATTAATATCTATCCATTAATTATCTTTTAATTTCTTCAACTTTAAATATTATTTTCAATTATTCAGATTAATTATTATTTTAAATTCAGGATTTATAATAATAGTTTATAATTAATTTCATTAATTCAGAAATAATAACATTATACAATTATACAATCAAGTATTTAATCCCATAATATCCATTATTCCTTTATTGACTACATATTATATTATTTAATAATTATTTTTATAATTTATATTTATATTTCTAATATTTATTTTTATATTTATATATTTCAATATTTATTTTATTAATTCCATTGCAGGATAATTTTTACAAGTGTTTATCTTGGAGTTACAAATTATAAAATTAAATTTATCAATTTTAAATAAGTTACAAATTATCAAAATTCAAAATTATAAAATTGTAAATTAAAGAAGAGCAAGGTAATTTCAGTTCCTTTTTATATTTAAATCTAGTAACCTTCATTACTGTGTCATTACTGTACCTACTGTGCCTTACTGTACCTTACTGTACACTATTATTTTAGTTACTATTTCTCTATATTATTTACTAAATATATTTGTTATTAATAAATTCTATATATTAATAAATATTGTTAAATAATGTTAAGTGATAATAATTAATATTATAAATTGATAGTTATATTTGTATAACTAAATATCACGTGAACATGTAATCTTGAGCTACTATTTCTCGCGACTAATTAATATATATTATAGACTATAAATATTTACTAAAAGAAATTATTAAATTGTTATTATTTGTTACATGGGCTAATATTTATTAATTAAATTTTAAATACTATTTTAAAGGTTATTATTAATTCTTAAAGATATTTTTAATATTATATTATTATAATATTTTCATTCTGTAACAGTTCTTCCTCACTTAAACAAAATGTCCTTATTTTGATATATAGTTATTTCCCAACTTTGTATATTTACATTTTTAATTTTCCGTACTTTAATAATCCTCCTTAAATTATTAAATTCAGTATTTTCTATTTCATCCATATGTATTCTTGTTACTGCAATGGTTTTTATCCCTTTCTTCAGGTGTTTATTTTCAATTTAACTTCTCAATATATGTAATTCCTCTATATGATATACAAATATGTCACTGTTTGTTGTTTCAGTTATTATTTCAGTGTTACTATTTTTTCCTCCATATATAATAAATCCTATTGTATTAGGTCTAGAAGATAATAATCCTTTCATTTCATTTACTATACTATTTTTTAATCTTTTTGTCATTTTACATTGTGCTATCTATTGTAATGTTTGATTATATATTACTATTTCTTCAAATAAATCTACTTCTCCATCTCCTATAATTTTTCTTAGTTTTATTTTCTCTTTATTTTCTTCTAAAAGGTAAGTTTTTGTCATTATAGTTATCATATTTTAAGCTTTTAATATTTGTATTGCTTTTTCTTCTAAACTGTCTCCTTTAATTCTATTATTTTGAATTTTAAATATTTCTTTTGTCCAGGTTTTAGTTACTTTTACTGTATCTAGATTAATAATCTCATCTTCTATTTTTCTCTTCTTCTGAGATGGCATTTTATTTGTAATATCCTCTAATTCGAAAATATATTTCCTTTTCATTAATAATATTGATTATAAAGTTATTAATTTTTCTTTTGAAATAAGGATTTCTTTGATGATTACTTTTACATTCAAATAAATCTTAATAGCATTTTCTTGATATGTTTCTGCTAAAGTTTGAAAATATTTTATATCTTCTTCTTCAGGTCTTCCTCTGAATCTCAGTCTTTTTATAGTTTCTTCAATTGGTGTGTTCCACAAGATCATTAATGCTTCTTTTAATAATCCTTCCTATTGTTTATAGTTTTTACTAATTTCCTTTTTATCCTCTTCTTCAAAATATCTTTCTTTTCTCATTGTTTCCATGAAGAATTTGTTGACATTAAGTTTCAGTTCATTAATATTACATCTGATTTTTCTTCATGTATCATGCAGATATAACTTTAAGTCATCCAATTATCTCTTATCCATTTTTCCCATTCTATAGTTTCTTTTTAGAATTGTTCTCTATTTAATTCTTGCTTCCTAAATTTTTTCAGGTTTTCTTCATATTTCTTTAATTTTTCAAAAGAGTCTTCAGTAATAAATGATTTATTTGATATTTTTACTTTTAATCCTTTTTTTTCTAAGTATTCTTTATATTTTTTTACTAAAGTAGTTTTTCCTACTCTACATGTTCCATCGATTCCTATTATTGAAGTTTCTATTTGTTATTTTTCAGTTAAAATATCTTGAACTGATTGAATGATGGGTTCCTTCAATATTGACTTAATGTCTCTTAGCTTCTAGTTGTCATTTCCCATAGTTCCATTAGTTTTGGTATTTCGTTTGTAATTGTTTTAAAACAATAAACTATTCTTTATTTATTTTTTTTTTGATAATGTTCTATATTCCAATATTTTAGGTCATTCATTTTAATTTTTATTCCAGTTTCTTCAAGTATTTCTCTTTGAGCTGCATGTTATTTTGTTAAGTTTGTTTCTTCAATATATCCTCTAGGAGTTTGTCAATGTTCATAAAATTCTTTTGTATAATTTTTCCTTTTGATAATTTAGATCTTCCAGGAGTTAGGTTCGTATAGAATTGTTATAGTATATTCAATTATTTTTAGTTTATTAATTGTTGCCATGATTGTTTTTCTACTTCTTAATCAAG